CTTTCAGGAAAGGTATGCTGTCAGGAAAGGACACTTTCTGTAGTGAACAGTTTCTGGGAAATATAATTTAAGGAAAGGACAGTTTCTATATTGAAAACTTCCTGTGAAATATAATTTAAGGAAAGGACAGTTTCTGTAGTGAACAGTTTCTGTAAGGTATACTGTCAGGAAAGGACAGTTTCTGTAGTGAACCGTTTCTGATGAATATAACTTAAGGAAAGGTTAGTTTCTATAATGAAAACCCCCTATGAAATATAATTTAAGGAAAGGACGGTTTCTGTAGTGAAAACTTCCTGTGAAATATAATTTAAGGACAAAACAGTTTCTGTAGTGAACAGTTTCTGGAAAATATAATTTAAGGAAAGGACAGTTTCTGTAGTGAATAGTTTCTGTAAGGTATACTGTTAGGAAAGGACAGTTTATGTAATGAAAACTTCCTGTGAAATATAATTTAAGGACAAAACAGTTTCTGTAGTGAACAGTTTCTGGAAAATATAATTTAAGGAAAGGACAGTTTCTGTAGTGAATAGTTTCTGTAAGGTATACTGTTAGGAAAAGGACAGTTTATGTAGTGAAAACTTCCTGTGAAATATAATTTAAGGAAAGAACAGTTTCTGTAGTGAACAGTTTCTGGAAAATATAATTTAAGGACAAAACAGTTTCTGTAGTGAACAGTTTCTGGAAAATATAATTTAAGGAATTGACAGTTTCTGTATTGAATAGTTTCTGGAAAATTCAGAAAATTCAGAAAATCCAAAAATTCAGAAAATTCAGAATCCAGAAAATTCAGAAATCTTAAAAATCTAGATTCCAGAAGATTTAGAAACCAAAAAAAAGAATCTGGAAAAAATAGAAAATCCAGAATCCAGAAAATTCAGAAATCTTAAAAATCTTGATTTCAGAAAATTTAGAAACCAAAAAAAATGAATCTAGAAAATTCAGAATCCAGAAAATTCAGAAATCTTAAAAATCTAGATTCCAGAAATTTAGAAACCAAAAAAAGGAATCTAGAAAATTCAGAATCCAGAAAATTCAGAAAATTCAGAAAACTCAGAAAATTTCAAAAATTTAGAAATTCAGAATTTTCAGAAATTTCAGAAATTCAGAAAATTCAGAAAATTCAGAAATTCAGAAAATTCAGAATTTATATATAAATATAAATATATATATATAATTCAGAAAATTCAGAAAATTCAGAAAATTCAATAAATTCAGAAAATCCAGAAAATTCAAAATCCACAAACAAAAATAGAATCTGGAAAACATAGAAAATCCAGAATCCAGAAAATTCAGAAATTTATCTAAAAAAAACAGAAAATTTAGAAACTAAAAAACTGGAATCTAGAAAATTTAGAAAATTCAGAAGCCAGAAAAATTTGAAACCTTAAAAATCTAGATTCCAGAAAATTTAGAAACCAAAAAAAAAGAATCTGGAAAAAATAGAAAATTCAGAATCCAGAAAATTCAGAAATCTTAAAAATCTAGATTCCAGAAAATTTAGAAACCAAAAAAAAATGGAATCTGGAAAAAATAGAAAATCCAGAATCCAGAAAATTCAGAAATTTAAAAAAAAAAATCCAGAAAAAAATATAAAAACAAAAAACAATAGAATCCAGAAAATTCAGGAAATCAAAGAAAAATAGGCTCCAGACAATTTAGAAAATCCTAAAGAAAATAGAATCCATATTTTTGTAGAAAACCTAAAAAAATAGAATTCAAAAAAACTAGCCAAAACAAGTTAGAATCCAGAAAAATTAGAAAACCAAAAAAGAAAGAGAATCTAAATTTTTGATTTTTCTTCTTTTGGTTCATCATATTCATGCCAATGTGTCAAAGTTGCCAGAAGCAGATGAAGATGACTTTCAACAGTTTGATTCATTCTTGCATTTTTTTTCTGCAGCTGCAACTCTAAGCTTCTTTGCTTCTTCTGTGCAAGAAAGGTTGTTGAGAGAATTTTTTAGCCTGACATCGTTTCATATCCAGGAAGCATGCACTCCAGAACTTTATCTATTCTTTTAAAACTTCATGACATTTCCAAAAACGATCCTTCACAGGAAATGTTCTTAACACAAAACATTTTTTTCTTGGGAGGAACTATACCACCAAAAAAAAAAATATGGCAGTATTTTTCAGAGAATAGTTCCCTATAAGAAAATATTTTTCCAGGCAGTAACCGGCAGAGAACTGTTCCCTACCAGAAAAATAAAAAAAAAACAGGCAGTACCCTTGAGAGAACTGTTCCCTAAAGAAATAAATCTTTCCAGGCAGTATCCTGCAGAGAACTGTTCCCTACAAAAGAAACTCTTTCCAGGCAGTATCCGATCACATCTACATTCCTGTAAATCATCCATGAAAAATGCCGAAAAAAAGAAAACATCCTTATTTTCTCTTATTTCACTTATTTTCACTTATGTTCACTTATGTTCACTTATTTTCGCTTCGTTTAACTTACTTGCAAATAATAACCGCCTATATTTGCTTATATCTTCATTATTATGTTATAAGTTCACCTAAAAATTTAGAGGAACTTAAAAGAACATATTTTCAGATCTCATATTTAAACAAGATATTAGGAGGATAATAGTAACTTATAGTATACTTATAAGTTCATTAAGTGCCTGAAGTGCAAATATCTGCTTTTTGTGGTCTTAGTACGGAAAATTGTATGTGCTTGCCTTAAATCATACTGAAGCATGGCTTGCTCTCTGTTTTTATGTTTTTGTTTGCTACGAGGTGGGGTTTTAAGCAAAATATCAGTAAACCAGTGTGTGGCCATATGGCCATAAATTGGAAGTAGGTTGACCTGCTACAAAGTTACAAAATACAGTATTTTTAAATGGGGATCAGGGATCCAAGATTTGCCCGAGCAGGTGGGTGATGTTTGATTTTTGAAAAACAATCATGATGATATAAGAGTCCTGATGGCAAGCCTGGATTGCAGCCTCCAAGGAGACTTCTGTGAACGCCGCCATCAGCGCATGTGAAGTTTGCGGTCAACGAAAGCGGGCCTTGTTTCTGCTTCACACTTCGGAATTGCTGCCCGCCTGTCACAAAAACTGTTGTTTTTTGTTTTTAATAGGAGCTCGAAATAATTATCGGATTCCAATAGTTCCGAACGGCCACATGCTGAAGATTGTACTTGGGAATCTTCACGTGCGCAGCCAAGTACGCAAGTCTAAACTGGGAAAGTGCAATTCAAAGAAAGCTCATGAAAGGCCAAGCTCCTTTGAGACTGTCAGAGATTGATGTCTGAACTTCTACAAGCTTCCATGAGTGATGTTTAGCCAAGACGGATCTTTTTTTAGTTGATGTGTAGGAGGGTACCATTTTATTTCAATTTTTGACTACTTTGGGGTGCTATTTGTCAGCCCAGGATAGCCCAGCCCTTGGCTGGTTTTTGTCAAACCCCTCAGTGAAAGATGGCGGAAATGTGTTCATGAAGGTACAGAAGTATTATACCATACGAAATCGTCAAATCCTTATTTTCAGTGGGGAAATTAATATGTTGAATAGTTTCTTCGGAGGATTTCCCTATGTTTTGAATTTCCAACCGCCTCTGTTCATAGTCAAATCCCCATGTGCCATGCTGAAATCCTCATTTGTCATAGTCATAAAATACCCTTTTCATGGCTAAAACAGTATTTTTCATGTTGAAACCCGCATTTTTCATGCTAAAATCTCCATGTTTCATGTTGAAATCGACCCAGATTCCGCTCCGTCGCGGCGGTTTTCCCTAGGACGCTCTGCCGCCGTTCGGGCACGGCGTTCCTGTGGGCGCTGGCGCGGCTGCAGGTGGACGATGCGGAGGTGGTCCATGCGGCCCTTGTGGAGGCCCATGCCCCCTTGGGGACCCTTGGGATAGCTTGGGATTGGGAGAAGGGAGCCATTAAGAATTATGGGATGAAGCATGAAACATTGTTGTTTCTATTTTTCTAATGGGTTTTTTATTGCAGTTTTAGTGAAATTTAATAGCTGTGAAATATAATGATAGCAACAGGATTTATATTTATATATAGTGGGAATTTAATCTAATGGTCAAGAGGAAGAGGTTTGGAGCTAGGGTATCCATATTCCCTATGAAATGGGGAGCGATTCAGAGCTGCAAATTGAAGTTCCCAGCCACATAATAGAATTAATGATAATTAAGGAGCTATAGTATAGGGTATGCTATGCAATTATCAAATATACTGTAAGAGTTTTTGCGTTGTGTTCATCAAGCCTATGGGGCTCTGATGAATTAGTATGCTTATATATATAACCGTTACCCTTTGATGATGAGCTTGCAAATTGTTATGTAATAAAACGTTATTGAAGAAAAATGACACGTATACTATCCAACCATCAAATACATAGAGGTTTCATCATACATATTTGGGTTTGACCTAAAACATACGGCTTCATGGTGGTTTAATCATCATTTAAACTGGGTGTTTGTCCATCAAAATTATGGGGATACACTTGCTAAATGCATATAAATGATGGTTGCTTGGTTACATATGGGGTGTTACTATGGTTGTTAATGATCCCATCATCTTTGTTTAACGATACCAATATAGGTCAATACAAAAAATGTACCAATACTTCACTGGGGGAATTTAGTCATTTAGAATTTATATAACCCCATTGTTGTCTGACTATGTCTGACTATTTTTGGTGGTTTTGCCAAGTGGACAATGATGCTTATGTCTGATGTGTGAATAGTGTTTAGCCAGACGCGTGAACAATAATCTGGTTTGAGATTGCATTCGAGCGGTTTGGGCCAAATTTGTAGCAATCATTGGGATTACAAGTCTGGCTGATTTATGATTTGTGAAGATGACGGCCTATCATGGTCGGCATATCCTCCAGCAAATTACCAGTAGTACCGCACAAGGCCGTGGCGGAAGTTTCAAAATAGGAAACCTATAGGAGAGCTTGGTTGTTGTGAATTACGGATGGCAAAGCGAATCCACTGATGGTCGAAAGGTGGTTGGAGTTGTGTTTTTTTGGAGTGGTTACAATGGTTGCAGAGGTCACCTGGTCGGTCACGTCACCCACAACTGCTGGATGTAGTGTGGTGTAGCGCTGCAGCTGTAGTTCTAGTTGTAGTGTAGTGGAGTTGTCGTTGTGGTGTAGTGTAATTAGTGTAGTGTAGTTGCAGTTGCATTTGTGGTGGAGTAATGAGTGTAGTGTAATGTAGCGTAGGGTAGTGTAGCCTAGTGTAGTGTAGTGTAAAGTAGCGTAGTTGTAGTTGTAGCTGTAGGTGTAGTTAGTGCAAAGTAGTGTAGTGTCCTGTCGTGTCGTGTGGTGTAGTTTATTTAGTCTAGCGCTATGTAGTGTAGTCGTAGTTGCATTTGCATTTGTAGTTGTAGTGTAGTTGTAGTTGTAGTTGTGGCTGTAGTAGTTGTTTTATTTGTGGTGTAGTGGAGTGGAGTGTAATGTAGTGTAATGTAATTAGTGTAGTGTAGTGTAATGTAGTTGCGGTTGTAGTTGTAGTTAGTCTAATGTAGTGTAATATAGCGTAGTGTAATGTAACTAGTGTATATAGTGTGGTGTAGCGTAATGTGGTTGTAATTGTAGTTGTAGTGTTGTGTTGTGCAATTGAGTGTAGTGTAGTGTAGTGAAGCGGAGTGTAATGCAGTTGCAGTTGTAGCTGTTCTTGTAGTTGTAGTTGTACTTGTATTTGTAATGTAATGTAGTGTAATGTAGTGTAGCGTAGTGGAGTCTAGTGTAGTGTAGTGGTTGTAGTTGAAACTGCTACAAAACCCTTACATTTTGCTCACTTTTGACAAGGTGCACAGTCCCCTGCGGCTGCCACGCAAAACGACATCTGAACGTCCAAAAGTGGTCCGGACATTAGTGCTTTTCACATTTTGACTTGGACACGTGCTTCGCACCACAACAGCGTGCACTTTTTCGACATCTCAACTTCCAAAAGTGGTCCGAGAATGGTGTGTTTTGTACATTTTGACTTCGACATGTGCTTCGTGCCACAACGGCGTGCACTTTTTCGACATCTCAACTTCCAAAAGTGGTCCGAGAATGGTGTGCTTTGTACATTTTGACTTGGAAATGTGCTTCGCGCCACAACGGCGTGCAATTTTTCCACATCTCATCTGGCCAGATGTCTCCGCACCCGCCGCTTTTAGCGAGCCTACTTTTCGACCCTCCGGACGCGCAGATCATTGGAAAAACGCAGTGTTTCGCGACTTTGCTACCTTTTCGCGCACCTGCATCTTCTGTCTTCTGACTCTTTCTCTTCCCTGATCTTCTTTCTTCTTCTCTTCTCTCCTCTGACTCTTCCCACCTCTGCTTTTCCATCTGTCCATATTGTCGGAAGTTTGACTTCTAAACTTCCTTCGAACATACAGTGTAGACATGGAAAATACATAAACGAAAATAGTGTGTTTCCAAAAACAAATCATCTACAACTGCCATTTTTGTTTCTTTATATACAGTTTGATTTAGCGTTTAACCTTTAATAATTGATTCTCAAATGATGCGCAACGCAGGTTTTTATGTTTGCATGATTTTGCTACCCTAGTTTCCCTTGGTTCCAGCCCTGGCTTGCCAATTTCCAGGCCGTTGCTGAGCTCAAGGGCTCCTTGGATGGCGAGGCACTGACGAGACTTGGAGCGAAGACCTTGAGGGGTAGCTAAGGTTGGCAGATTTCCCTGAAGCACACCCTTCGTCTTCGATAAACAGAAGGTTATCTAACCTCCTCCCCAGAAAAATCAGGTGCTTATCCACGCCTGCCCTTGTTTCGATCATTATTTGTAGGACATCTCACTGGGTTTCAGGGAAGGTCTAGCAAAATGCGACATGTTTATTCTTCTATAGATCAACCACTGCAAAACCGCCCTCCCCCCTACCCTCCAATCTACATGCTTTATTGATTTCAACAGGTTTAGTGTTGCCTTTCTACAGTTTCACATCCCAGGAGAGGCATCTCCAGATTCTGGTGGTCCTTATCTATGCTGGGGGCCCGACCCTTGCAGCCCAGCGCCATCAAAGCGGTCGCCACGGTGCCGCAATCGTACTGGCAACTTTTCACGCCACAGGAGTTGCTGATGAGTACCTGGGGTGCCATCGATGCTCCCGAGGCGCCGGGGCGTTTTTTGTTGAGCTGCTGGTGGTGAATGAGTAGCGAATGAGTAGTGAGTGAGTAGTGGGTTGACCAGCCAAAAAGTTGGAGATGATTTCATGATCAAGAATTCGGAATGATAAGCCCAAGCCAATACATGATCCATAATAATAATAATGTGATAAACCCAAGTATATCTCACCTCCAAAAAAGAACATACATGGGTGTTGCATAAAGCATCCCCAATCATGGTAGGTTCATGGCAGCCAGGGTTTCCCAAAGCCTGCCGTTGGTGAACGCAGGTTCTTTGGCCGATCCAGGAAGAATGGACGCGGCGTTTGGCTGGGAAGGACTTGGCCTTGACAACCTGGTGCCTTGGAACGTAGACAGGGGGCATTGGGGATTTCAGCATCAAAAGTTGTGATTTAACATGATTTAACCATTAAACATGATGAATTAACCATGACTTGTTTTTTGTTACCATGAGCAGTTGTGATCGAATATGATTTAACTGTGAAAGATGATGGTTTCATCATGCTAATTCTGATTCAATAACAGCAATTGGGTTTGACCATTGATTATGTATATATATATATATATATATATTGGACTTAAACTGGTGAATAGTAAGTAAGTCAGTGGGCTAGTTGTTGGCCATGTTTATGGGAAATGGGCTGACCACTGATCTTTTTTGTTGGTGTTTATTTTCTGTCGAATTAGCAATGGAAATTCCATGGCATTTTGAATTTGAGCAACAACATCGTGGATGTAGCCGACACAAATTCAAGGATTGCATCGCCGCCATTGGTGGTTACAAGCGATGAAGATGCAATGACATAGGGAGAAGATCATATAGACAAAAGACAATGTTTGGAGGAGACGGCCAAAGTGTCTTTGGCGTGTTCGAAGACGTGTAGCATGGCACAATCCGCAATCAGTGTAATTATATAGTATAAGGCCGCCAATGGTAAAAATAGATGTAAACATAAACACTGTAGCAAGTGGGTAACCATACAGTTTGTCACAGTCCTGTTCTGGAATCGATGCATCACTTCGCAGAAAGATGGGACGCTGTAGGGCATGCCAAAGCGTAATTATTGTTTGATGTTCGTCTCGTTTAGGCATTGTTTCCGATGTTATATTTGATATTTGATATTTTTGTTGATATTTGACATTTGATATTTGATGATATTTGATGATATTTGATGATATTGTTCCGATGCATCCTATTTGTGTCCAACTGTTTCTGGCACTCTAGTGATGTCAAGTTCGGTTTGCCTTGTTCATCCTGGAATATGTTTTCACAGCCGCCACCAGGGTCTTTCCACGAGCCTAAGCTGCGCGGCCTAGGCTGAGCCAAAAAGATTACATTCTGGGCAGCCTTTGGGCCTGCAGTTTTGCAGGGCAAGTTCGCTCTGACTTTCTGGCAGCTGCAGCTGGGTAGAACTGACCCGATAAGTTTGCAATAATTCCGTCGCACGAGAGCTCTAGTATTGAATATCGCCATAATATCAACAGATGGGGGTTGGGGAGAGGGATGTAATTGCGCACGTTCCAACTGTACATATCATATCATATCATCATAAAGATCGTTGATCTATCAGAACTTCAACTCCCTCACTTCCAACATCGTCCCAAGAAGGTGATCTGGCCTCTTGTGACCACTTGGAAGGATCCAAGTATAATGAGTGATGGATAGTGATGGTATATTTGGCATATCATATCACCAACAAATGGTGATTTAACTATAGTTTATTCGCCAAATGGATGCATTGTAGTGGGTATGTATATCAACGAATATGTCTGCTTTATGCTTTGAGAAGTTGTTGCTGTTTCCAGCCAGAATATGGCACGATGATCCAATTTGGATCACCTACTCAGGACTATCTTGTGGTCATAGCATTTTGTGAAAAACAGCTGCCCTATATATCCTTTGGATGTACTAGGGCCTTCAAGTTGGTGTACCAGCAAGGTTTGATTGCGGAAATCACAATGGCCATGGCATCACGGCCGAGGTCAAGGGCTCCATGCGCAGTGCTGGACGGCTGTTGGATGAGGACAACCCTGCTCCAGCGCACTTCGCTGCAGATGCTCGGCCGGGTGCTTCGTGAGGTCACGACTAGGCAATTTGTGAAGTTCATACTTGAGAAGGTGTAATGGTGTGCTGTGGTGATATGACGTTACATGTAGTGAGATGATGTTGCATGTGTGACATGATATGACATGGAAAGCCCATCCCCCACGGCTTGCACCAAGGCAACTAGCCCGCGGGAACCCAAGGGGCCGCTGGAAACCATGGAGACCCCACAGTTGCTGCGGTGCCTTGCAAGAATGGCCTTAAAATTCACTATTGTAAGGTTGGCCCACTTGTTTTTAGTACAAGTATGCGTGATTTATGGTGGCTTGATATGGTTTGAATATGTTCAAATCCATTTGAATCCATGAAAAACGACCTTCAAAGGGTATGACCAACACAAGCGGCAGTTGAACCAGCAGAAATGCTGGAGTTGGACAGCAGGAATGTAAATATCACGTCGAGTCATGTCACCAGAGAGTCACTGGTTCAAATGAAGATTGGGCAGCCTGGTGGTAAGCCCGCGTTAGATTGGGGATTTCTCTCTGTCGACGATCCGTGGCTTGTGGCTCCAACTGTGGCCAAGTCGGGCCAGGTTTGAGGAGGAGCAGCTACTCATCTTCAAGCCAACTGGCTGGGAAGTGGAAGATCCGATCCTTGCCTTTGAACCGCGCCCTCTGGTCATAGCAAGTTGGGAGTTAACTTTAACGGCACCCACTGGTTCTGAGTTTTTCTTCATAATTTTGTGTTTGGCACCCCAGGTCGTTGAATTCTGCTCCTGAACTCAAATCCAAATTGCATTCCTTTAGGTTCCTTTAACGTGATTTGGGCCACCAGCAATCACCAGAATCCTGAGGGATGGAGAGCAAAGCCTGGGCCGATTCTTGCTGCAGCACGTGGGGCGCAGGCCCATCTTTCGCGACCCCAGAGCCACCTTCGGATTTTTGCATCGCCTGGACGTTCCCAGCTCAGGCTACCGTGAATGCGAGAGGAGGGAAAGCTTAAAACATGTGGGATGGATGGATCTAACGACTTACATGCACATAGCACACACACACATATATATATATATATTATCTATATATCCATCTGTCTGTCTATCTAATCTAGTCTAATCTTAATCTGACCTAATCTAATCTAATCTAATCTAACCTAATCTAATCTAATCTAATCTAATCCATTCCATCTATGTACCCATCCATTTATCTATTTTATCATTTTTTGTGGTGTTTCTTATCCTATCTTATCTAATCTTGTTTTGTTTGCCTAAATCTACATGCAGGTACACACATGGTTTTTGCACACATGCCTCCAGGATTTCCCCGTGCAGTCTCCTACCAATATTGTCACTGCATTTCATACACCTTTGCCTGCAAAATTCTCCGCAGCCAGTTTTACCAGGCCTCATTTTGGCAGCTTCCAGCTATGCCGCCTACTTTGACCTGAGGCTCCAGTTGGCTCAAGGCTGGGACCATGGGAAAACTTCAAGGAAACCATTATTATTCCTCGTAAAAGCCGCGTTTTCCTGCAGATTCTCCCTTAAACCAACCCCATGGACAATCTTTCCCTTCTCTCAGATACTCTCTAATCGAAAGCCTGGTTTAGTAGTGGATGCATTCATGTGTAAAAATTCGTTTGCTGGGTAACCCTTTGTAATTTCACACGTGATGTACACTCATTAGCTATAAAAAAGATACTCGGTATCTCAGGATGACCATGTTCAGGGTGAATTTCACACGAGCAGGATGGCAACACCAGCTTCCACGTTTTGTTATTCTGGGTCAAAACATGGTTGCATTTTGAGTCCTACATAGAAACAAGTATCCCCCAAAAAGGTAGAACGGCACAGTAGGTTTTCTTTTTCCAGCTTTTTGGAGGGATATATGCATCATATTATTTCATATCATATCATCTTAGATTTTGCATCTCATTTCATTGTTTTTCATATCATATGATAGCACTAATCCCTTCCCACTATCAAACACCCAAAAACAATGGTGAATGGGGATGAAATCACCTATTTGGGAATGTGAGTGTATAACATGTGGGATGTGATGGACTTTTCGTGGTTCCCTATGTTTAGTAGTCTAGTGGTAACCTCAGCACTATTACCCTCTGGTAATTTAACATAGCTATTGAAAATGGCCAATGGAAATAGTTGATCTACCTATTAAGGATGGTGATTTTCCAGCTCGCTATGTTAGTTTACCAGAGGGTATATCCCATTAAATTACCTTGCTTCCAAGGTCTCATCCTCCGCGATTACCTGGTGCTCTGCCACGGCTTCCAATCCGCTCGCAACGCTCGCGTCATCGCCGCGGCTGTGTCCTGGAACCCGGGGACCATGGCGCCAAGCCGTGCGGGACGGGGCAAGCCCAGTGGCAGCAGGCTGCAGTGCCTGGGGATGGGATGCTTGGTGCGAAATCAACGGGGAATGTTTCTTGGGAAAATCATCTATAAATTTCCGGTGATGATTGATGTTTATTGGGTGTAATTTCTTCCCATTTGGGATATAACTAGCAACGGAATGTGATTTTGGGGTTTAACACACTGTGACTATTATGAATGGGGATTTCATGGCAAAATACTGGGATTGAACTAACAATAGGATGTCCACTGCCCTTTGGGAATCTAACATAGCCATAGGAAACCTGCATTTTAAATAGGACAACTATTTGCAATCGGGAAAAATTCATCCATTGTCCCTAGTTTTGTTAAATTACCGATGGGTATAAAGCATCAATGAGGCTTTAAGGGCATGAAAACGAATGAGTGGGATCAGGGGATATGCGTTAGGAAAAATATGATACATGATAATAAATGGGGTTTCGTGGTTGAGTTTATTTCCACCATTTAGGATAATGTAACATGACCCATCATGACCCCCAAATGGTTGGTCAATGGGATTTGAGTTACAGCATTTGGTTTAACACACTATACTATACAATACTATAATTACTATACATAGGTTTTTTTTTCAATATATACTGGGCTAGAACGGGATAGAACTAACAACATGACTAAGAATCACAGTATGATAATGGAACATTCTGGGGGATACAACGCACGGGGGAAAAAAGGGGAGTGGATAAAACATAAAACATCCACTGTGTATTAACTATAACTAACCATCAATAAAGAATTATTATACCCCAACATTGCTATGTGATTTGATAAACCATCAAGTTTAGAGCTGGGAAAATGGATGGTATAGTTTAGCACAAACTAAATCCAATTAATCTGTTGCTAAGAAAGGGCAATTGGAAATGTCAACCTCGGATGAGTAAACCCTGGCTGATTAATTAAGGGGTAAGCTCCCTAAAATGTGATGATGTGCTACTTACAGTAAGTCCAGAGTTGTCATGATAGTGTAGATGTAATATAGGAACCACGATTCATCTATGGGAAATATGTCCAAAAACATTGGTATAACAGCTTAACCATTAATCATGTGGATATTGTTTTTTGTTCCATTTATAACCATGAATAGGGATGGGAAGGTTGGAACTAGGAGAAACTTGGAGCTGGAGCAAGCGGATGAAGAGTTTTGGCACTGACATGACGCACGATTTGTTCGGTGAAAACCATATCTTGGGGCTAGAGCTCATCTTAAAAAATGTTAAAGCATTTTAAAACAAAACCGTCGCAGCTCCCATACTCTCCTATCTCCTGCTATACAATACTAAATTGAATAACTGGGGGTAACCCAAATATCACTAGTTATTTCATCTGGCTATTACCTACTAGAACTGACCCAAGCACCTCAGGCTGTCATCGCTAATCTTAAATACCCTGCAAACAGTGCCGTTTCCAGCCGCTTAGTAATTAAATGTACTTGATATATGTTCCCTTTGCTTGGTGATTTTAACTACGACATGCTACGACGATGTGTGGGGGTCTGGGGTAGTTGAATCTTCTGGCTGGTGGTGTTCTCATCTCACATGGCCAACTGCCTGACTGATTGTGTCATAGCTCTTGTTGTGTGCCAGTGAGCATCTACATGGCATGTTTGTGTACCTTCCGTAAACACAACGCATGTACACATGTTCCACGCAAGGTATCCATGCAAGTATGGTGTCGTTTCCACTTCAGGGTAACAACTGACCAAATTTGTTTCGTGCAAATCACCGTTGTTTTTGCTCACGCCGCCTCTAACGACCCCAGGCGGTTTGCGTGTTTTGATGTGCCATGTGCGTGTTGTGTTTTCTTTTGGGGGGGTGGGGGGGGTGGGTGGGGTGGGGTGGGATGTTAACGTTCCTTGCACTTCGTACATTACATGTTGCTACGCTGTAGAGATCTCTGGGATCGTTGCTACGTCACATGTTGTTACGTTGCTGATGGTGTGGGGTGTGTGGGGTGGGGTGGGGTGGGATGTTTACGTTCCTTGCACTTCGTACATTTCATGTTGCTACGCTGTAGAGATCTCTGGGATCGTTGCTACGTCACATGTTGTTACGTTGCTGATGGTGTGGGGTGGTGTGGGGTGGGGTGGGGTGGGATGTTTACGTTCCTTGCACTTCGTACATTTCATGTTGCTACGCTGTAGAGATCTCTGGGATCGTTGCTACGTCACATGTTGTTACGTTGCTGATGGTGTGGGGTGGGTGGGGTGGGGTGGGATGTTTACGTTCCTTGCACTTCGTACATTTCATGTTGCTACGCTGTAGAGATCTCTGGGATCGTTGCTACGTCACATGTTGTTACGTTGCTGATGGTGTGGGGTGGTGTGGGGTGGGGTGGGATGTTTACGTTCCTTGCACTTCGTACATTTCATGTTGCTACGCTGTAGAGATCTCTGGGATCGTTGCTACGTCACATGTTGTTACGTTGCTGATGGTGTGGTGTGGGGTGGGGTGGGATGTTTACGTTCCTTGCACTTCGTACATTTCATGTTGCTACGCTGTAGAGATCTCTGGGATCGTTGCTACGTCACATGTTGTTACGTTGCTGATGGTGTGGGGATTGAAAGACTTGCAAGATTGAAAGAACTTGGCACGTTGGCAAAGACTTGCAAGTGAAAAATATAAAAACTTCGTTTTTTTTTTTGTATGGGGACAAAAATTGAATGCTTCGACCACTGTAAATTCATGAAAACGACTACAAAGTCATGCAAATACCAATGGAAATGCAAGTCATGTCAAAATGCGAATGTCACAAAACCCTGGAAGGGTTGCAAAACTGAAGACTGAGCTGCTGGAAAAAAGGTGAAATTGCGCGGGGTCATTGCGGGCGGCGTGTCCTTGTTTTTCCTCCACGGATCTTTGTTGTGCATTGTTATGCAGCATCTACTTGTTGGTCTATGTTTTTTGATTGATAATTTTGTTGCCTGGGAACAAGTTAAGTTTGTTTGAAAGTAGGCCATCCCTAAATCTACTGAGTTGTGGTTATTTTCTCTGTTAAAGGTGGCCATACATTCGGGCTCACTCCCCTGCTCTTGCAGAAACCCAGGTATCAGGTATCACATCAAATTGGGAAAATGTATCCCAAATCTGTCTTGGTTTAAATGGGATTACTACTTACCAACCGTGATGCTCGATACCATGGGAATCCACTGAGGATATATTGGCGCTGCGGCAGTCAGCCTTTTGGCGGTGCGGATCTTGACCGGTCGCCGTCATCAGATCAGAGTTCACCTCGCACATGTTGGATGCCCAACGGTCAACGATGCGCTGTGTCCCGGATGGTGATTTGGGGATGGGTCAAAGCTTGTTGTACCATCCTTTTTTGGGATGAACAACCATAGATCTTAGTTGAGCGTTCACAAGGGCACCACGGTTTTGACATGTTTTGACCCACGATTAGCCATTTCAAGCCGTTTGATAATTTGCATGACAGTGGAAAATCCCAGTTGTTTAATGGGAACATGTGGGATAATCATCGGTCATTAAATGGGTGGTGCTCCATTGCCAGGTTCAATTGCTGGATTTCAAACAGAGAACCCCACCAAGTTGGGTGGTTTAGAACCACAATCAAAATTGCGAGTTGGGGGCATGCCTCATGCTCAAAGACGCCCACAGTTGTTCTATGCATTTTGATTTCTCTATAGTTGGGTGCATGCTGAAGGATTGAGATGATCCGTTAGTAGTGTTCTTTGGCTGATTAGGTTGAAAACATCGCTGGTAGCGATCCACCCTGGGGTGGGGTCTAAGCCCAGCGAGCCCATCGTTTGATATGGTTAAACTATATGTTAAACTCCCATAAGACCATGTTTGCCAATCTTCCAGGTCCCCCAGTGCGGAATTTCGAGTTTCTCAGGTACACCTCTGCCTCAGTGCACGCCATGGACCAACAGTTCTGCAGGAGGAATATGCTGCATCGATCCTGGGCGCCCGACAACGGGAAAATTCGAGAAAAAACATCCATATTTTGGTCGCAGAAACATGTAATGTGGGTAAAACAACGCCGTAAACCACCCATTTGGGAATGGTTTATAGTACCTATTTATGTGATTTGGGGGATGGCTTATTATTGTTTGGAGGGCTATTTTTTTTGGGAATTTTTTCCCGTTTTTTTTTGGGAATTTTTTCCCGTTTTCTGGTGGAAGGAAGGTGCGAAGAAGGAAGGAAGGAAGGAAGGAAGGAAGGAAGGAAGGAAGGCAGGAAGGCAGGCAGGCAGGCAGGAAGGAAGGAAGGAAGGACATAAGGAGGGAAGGAGGGAAGGAGGAAAGGAGGGAAGGACGAAAGGAAGGAAGGAAGAAAGGAGGGAAGGAGGAAAGGAGGGAAGGAGGAAAGGAGGGAAGGAAGGAAGGAGGGAAGGAGGGAAAGAAGGAAGGAAGGAAGGAGGGAAGGAGGAAAGGAGGGAAGGAGGAAAGGAGGGAAGGAGGAAAGGAGGGAAGGAGGAAAGGAGGGAAGGAGGAAAGGAGGGAAGGAAGGAAGGAGGAAAGGAGGGAAGGAGGGAAGGAGGGAAGGGGGCAACGAAGGGAAGGAAGGAAGGAAGGAAGGAAGGAAGGACCATGTGTGCAGTCAACACTTGCAGCTTGCAGCCACCACGGGCAGCGTGCAAAGTGCTGCTGAGCTGCTAGAGCTGAGGGGTTTCCAAAACTATTTTCTGGCCTTGTTCGGGCCTCGTTTTGGCATCGTTTTTGGCCTCGTTCGGAACCCGTTGCAGAAATACTGAGTTGAGATGCAAGTCAGGGCCACATAGATTTGTGACCAAAACATACCAAAACATACATGAACCATGCGCTCACATTTTGTTTTAAACCAAAAGATGACTTTTCTTAGATGTACTTGTTTTAACCGGCTCCCCTTGCTACCTACTCTGATTCCTTTTTCATAAGCATCATCGGTTATTTGCGTTCATTTCATCTTCATTGATCTCCATCGCGACTTGTGCCTATGTACTTCTTTCATGTTCTTTCTTGGTACGCATTGCAGGGGACCCCCCCACCCGCTTTTTTTTTTTCATCGGCTTCCCTTGCTACCTACTCTCTTGCCTTTTGCTCATAAGCATCGTTTCTTAGGGTTCATTTTCTCTTTCTTCTTCTTTCAAAATATCCATCGAGACTTGTGCCTATGTGCTTCTTTCTTGATCTTGTCGTTCTTACTTGCAATATATCCATTGAGACTTGTGCCTATGTGCTTCTCTCTTGGTACGCATTGCGGGGGGAGGCGCTGCGTCCTCCCCCCTGCACCCCCCCACCCGCTTTTATTTTTTAACCGGTTCCCCTTGCTACCTACTATTCCTTTCTTATTGCATAAGCATCATCGTTTATTTGGGTTAATTTCATCTTTGCTGATATCCATCGAGACTTGTGCCTATGTGCTTCTTTCTTGATCTTGTCGTTCTTACTTGCAATATATCCATTGAGACTTGTGCCTATGTGCTTCTCTCTTGGTACGCATTGCGGGGGGAGGCGCTGCGCCCTCCCCCCTGCACCCCCCCACCCGCTTTTATTTTTAAACCGGTTCCCCTTGCTACCTACTATTCCTTTCTTTTTGCATAAGTATCATCGTTTATTTGGGTTAATTTCATGTTTGTTGATATCCATCGAGACTTGTGCCTATGTGCTTCTTTCTTGATCTTCTCGTTCTTACTTGCAATATATCCATTGAGACTTGTGCCTATGTGCTTCTCTCTTGTACGCATTGCGGGGAGAGGCGACCCTCCCCCCTGCACCCCCCCACCCGCTTTTATTTTTAAACCGGTTCCCCTTGCTACCTACTTATTCTTTTTTGCATAAGCATCATCGTTTATTTGGGTTAATTTCATGTTGTTGATATCCATCGAGGCTTGTGCCTATGCGCTTCTTTCTTGATCTTCTCGTTCTTACTTCAATATATCCATTGAGACTTGTGCCTATGTGCTTCTCTCTAATGCTACTGCTACTGTACTGCTGGGCTGCTGCTGCTGCTGCTACTGCTACTGCTACTGCTACTGCTACTGCTACTGCTACTGCTACTACTGCTGCTGCTGCTGCTGCTGCTGTGCTGGCTGCTGCTCCTGCTGCTGCTGCACGACGACGACAACTACTGACTACTACGCGACTACTACTACTACTACTACCACTACTACTATTTTTTTTTGATCTAGGTTTGCAGCACGAAACCCGTGAGGTCTCACACAGTGGCACCTGGATATTTTTTTTTGATGCACATATTTTTTTTTGATGCGTGCTGGATATTTTTTTTGATGCATTTATATTTTTTTTTTGATACGTGTCTCCACCGGCACGTTGTTTCCATACCTGTTGCCACCCGTGAGACTTTATTTGTATGTGCTTGTGGTCACATTTGCCATTCACACGAACTATTTCGACGCGATGCAACCAGACTCATACCAGCACTGTGGGCTGAAGAAGCGCCGTTCGAAATTGTTAGCACACAAGCAAACATAGATCATAAGTGCAAGCAAGAGCACAAACGAAACCGCACCAACCAACCAACCACCCATCCATCCATCCATCCATCCATCCAACCACAACAACAACAACAACAACAACAACATTAACAACAACAACAACAACAACACCATGCAAATCAGAGAGCTTAGCTGCAAAACGCTGCAAATACCAATCAAAACCATCAAACCCCAAAAAACGGGAAAAAAATCCCAAAAAAAAACGGGAAAAAAATCCCCAAAAAAAATGCAGCCCTTATTGTTTTAACCACATTACAAACGATTAAAAACCTATGGTTTCCTGTACATTATCCATTGAATCGATCCATTGAACCAAAGATGATGGCTAGCAGGCTATTATTCATACAATAAAGAAAAATGTGAGTTGGTGTCATTTGTCCAGAATGCTGACAATATTCGGCTGGCGTAGAGATAGTCGTCGTAAATGATGGTCCTAAACTATCCATGTTTGGTTCATTTTGAGCCGTCAACTTGAGTCGTCAACTGTTTGTCTTTTCGGCACTCGCAGGCTTTTGTTCATCACCAAGGTGTAGATTTGGGGTTGTGGCCACTGAGTGGATTCACTGGACAGCCCATCCAGGAGTGATATATCTCCTACAAGCTCCGTTGGGGGCCTAGTCGGGTGCATATCATTGCGTCTTTATTTGCTGGTTCATCTCAGCAATTGCACTAAGATATTTCATGTATATATACATACCCCCCACTCAGAAACCCAGTTTGCGGGGGACTTTCAACTAACTTTTAACCCCCAGTGATTTTTTTCTTTCCTCGCCAAAGGACATCATCTGAGCTTCACGGATCACCAGGGCATGGTCCAAGACTTTACCGTGCCGCTGCCTCCAGTTCCTTGGGGTCAAGGGGTGAGTCGTGGGCGATGGAGCAAGGGGTTACCCTCTGATAATCAAATGAGGCAGGCTGGAAAATCTCCGAACTAAATGAAGGTTTCTGGGAAAATCATCGAACTAAATAGAGAAATAGAAGTAAATGGTGGATTTCGTGGGAAGGGGCCCCCGAACCATAGCCAAGATGGTTTAGAACAGAACTATAAGTCTAGCTAGGATCCAAGCATGACTTGAGCAACACCCTTAGGGTTGGGGTTTCAAATTTTGACCCAAGCCAGTTTGGATTGCGTCTATAAATTTAATTTTGTTATGTTTCATCCCAATTGGGATGATGATTCTTCGCATCTTTAGGGGGGCCGCGTGGGTCAAGCACGAAACCATCCACAGTTTCTGGCGGTGTTTGAGCATCTCAAGATTTGGCCAAAGAATAATCCACAACGCCTGTGTATGGCTTAGGGATGTTTAGTGGGTCCTTCCGGGGTGCACTTGGGAACGCGTGGAAATCTACAATGCCACATTGGGGTGGAATGAAGATCCAAACACCAGATATTGACATAAACACGAACTATCCCTATTTGACGGAAACGCAGTATCAACTTGTTACAGTACATTGCCTTTTCCATAGGTGCTTGTCTTTAGAGGGGACCCTCTCAATTCGATCGATGGTATTCCTTTCTAAACACGACAAATTGTGGTGGTTTGGGGGGATGAATTGGAACTCCTTGTAAACCATATACATCCCTGGAGTGATACAGATACAGGTCCATCAACCTTATTTACACGTGTATGTGTGTATATATATATATGGTACCTCCCCCAAAAGATCTACCATTTTTGACCTACCTTTTTGAAATCTTGTGGTTTGGGATGATAATCGAGCAATTAATTGAAAGGGGGGACCATATATATATATATAAGTATATATAGATACATATTTAAGATATATTTAAATAAACACGTATACATATACACAGGCATATGCACTTCCCACAAAAATGCAAATTTTGCAAACTTTCCTGGATTCAAGATTCAAGATTCAAGATTCTGGGGAAAACTTCTTGAATCCAGGCCTGGTCATGGATTCAAGAAGTAAGAAGTTTTTCCCACAATCTTGAATCTTGAATCCCAAAAAAGTTGCAAACTTTGCAAACTTTCCTGGATTCAAGATTCAAGATTCTGGGGGAAACTTCTTGAATCCAGGCCTGGCCTTGGATTCAAGAAGTTTTTCCCAGAATCTTGAATCTTGAATCTTGAGCCCCAAACAAATGCAAACTTTGCAAACTTTCCTGGATCCATAAACTTAGAACCTAATGGTATATCAAATGGAATATGAATGATTCTTTCATGGCAAACTAAGTATAGATTGTATATTAAAGGTTTATTCAAGGCATACCAGGCAAACCAAATGGTAAGTAAAAGGTATTTTAGAGGCGTAGTGGTATTTTCAAGGTTAATTAAATGGTATATTAAATGTATATACCTTCAAGGTATATTATAGGTGTAGTAAACATTATTTTTAATAATATATTCCTTTCAGCCGCTTGCCGTAATTGTATATCAAATGGAATACTAACGATTCTTAAATATAGATGGTGCATTAAAGGTTTTTTAAAGACATTATCTGGAAAATAAAAAAGGCATTCTAGAGGTAGAGAGGTATCCTAAAGGTCCATTAAAGATGTTATTATGGTCAATAAGATTGTATATTCAACATAGATTAAATGGTATATTTAAGGTATATTAAATGGTGTAGAGAAGTTTTATGCATTGAAGTAAGGTGCATTAAAGATGTTTTCATGGCCAATAAAATTGTATATTTAACGTAGATTAAATGGTTTATTTAAGGTAGATTAAATGGTGTAGAGAAGTTTTATGCATTGAGGTAAGGTGCATTAAAGATGTTTTCATGGCCAATAAAATTGTATATGTAACATAGATTAAATGGTATATTTAAGGTAGATTAAATGGTGTAGTGAAGTTTTATGCATTGAAGGTATATTGAATGTATACTAAAGGTATTTTCAAGGCCAACTAAATTGTATATTAAAGATAGCTTCATCGTTATCCAATGGAATGCTACAGGTATATTGAATGGTATATTCAAGTTTTTTTAGACTGTATTTAAAAAGGGATACTGAAGGCATGCCAAAGGTTTACTAAAGGTTTATTAAAGATTTGTTTATGGTCAATAAACTGGTCTATGAAAGTATATGGAATCTATAATGAAGCTATATTCATTGTATATTTAAAAAATGTTGATCATGATATTATTCTTTATTTGTTGCATCAAAAAGACAGACGTATCCAACATGTTAGAATCTGGTGTTTTGAGAGAAATACTGTATGATTGAAGGAAGGCTTAATATTATATAGTTTGAAAGGAAGACTGCATTTCTTCAGAAAGAAAACACTGCATGTTTAGAGGAATGCCCTATTTTTTGTAGGGGTACTGTTTCTTGAACGAAGTCATACTTTGTTTGGAAGGAAAATTGTAGTTTATGAATGAAAGTGTTTTTTTCAAGCATGGAAAGGAACGCTGCAATTTAAAACAGATTGCTTCCTTCAAGAAATGATGTGTTTTCTGACCTGGGTATGCGCAAAGTAATAGTGTGCTTACTTTGTTTTTGCAAAAGGTTCCCAACCATCTTTGACATCAACAAAAAACCGAAAATAGTAGATGTCTGGGGGGGATAGCACATATACATATACATTTATATATATATACATATATGTTTAAATATATGTATATATATATGTATATATATGTATATATATATATGTATATATATATATATGTATATATGTATATATATATGTATATATATATGTATATATATATATGTATATATATATATAATTATATATATATATATGCCCCTCTATAATGCCCAAAAATATGTCCATTTCTATCCACACTATGCCCCTATAAAGTTCCCATATCATCCCATCCCATGGTCTCAGGAGATGGCGGAGCCAATGCGACAGATCTCTCCCAAGGATCCAGGTAGTCTCGAGAGGCTGGATCCGGGGTTTTCAACCGTCCTGGGGGATTGCTGGAAGTGGGGAAGCTGACTGGTGACTGATGGGGAAGCTGAGTGTTTTGTTTTGACATGTTTTGACATGTTTTGTGAGACTTTTTGGAGGATTTGATGATCTGCTGTAATTCAATGTTCCTCGGGTATCTTAAGGGGTATCTGAAGTTATGTGACCATGATGGCCCATGAAACCTTCACAGAACCCTGCAAGGAGTGCCTTTTGAAGACCATTTTCAAGTTCCGCTTGACACTGGTTTCGAAGGGAAAGATAGTTTGGCATTGGAAAATCCACATTCGGTAAAGGCATTGCATGAAAGTTGCTCAACGGTATTCGGCAAGTTGCCCTTCTGTCTCGAGCTGCCTATTTCGCTTTGTTTTTTTTCACGGCTACACCCCAGCAATCTAAAGTGTCAGTTCAACATATCTAACCTGTACGGTGCAAGACTTTCCACCGCAAAAATATCAATCGGTTTTTTTTTGTTTTCTACTGCATGCATTTTTTCTTGCTGAACACCTGCGTCCAAAAGTTGATAATTACTTTGTTGGGGGCTTCTCCACGAAAGGTGCTGAGTGCTGATGGTTGCCATAAAAGTAATCATTGAAGTCACTGACATATTGCCACCCAGCCAGGTTGAGGACTGCTTTGAGACGCGGTCTGAAGGGGGGAGGATGGTACGTGTTGAGTTTCAACAAAGGGATGAAGATCTTGCTTGATCTTGCTTGGGAGTATGGGTAGATAATTATTCCCAGAAGTTGGCAGATGATCACACACAGTGGAATATATGTATATATTATGAACATATATATAATCCCCGATAACTGCACCCCCAAAATGCTGTATGTTGCTTGATGTCGCTTGCCATCTGCCAAAAAGGGATGATTCCAAGTGACCAACCTTGTGGGTGCATGGGTTGATGTCTTACCAAGAGAACTGTACTCAGTACTCTTACCGGAGCAGGGCACGAAAAAGGTTGGAAAATGTGAAAATGCAGGTTTGTTGCACTATCATAAGGTGAAATTTGTGGAGACATTCCCTAAAACCCAAAGGTTTAAGGCTTGAATCCCTATACTTCGGTGGCGCAGCATTGCATATCCGCCAGCCCAGGAGTTCAGACCTTCAAAGCAGTTGGGGATCTATGGATTGGAAGCCATAGATGGGTTTGTCCATGAGGTACCCCATAAACTCTCCATTCCAATGGATGAACTGAGGCTTGAAACCATGAAATTTCATGGAAAAGTATTTAGCCATGTCTTGGGACAAACCCCAATCAACTTGTGGTAACTTGCTTGTAAATCCAGTTGGAGCCGGCACTGCGGCATCCGAAAAAATGGAAGGATCAGGTCATGGACCTCAAAAGATGCGCGGCAGAGGGCGGAGTGTGAGGCAAATTTCAAGGGGTGGCCCTGAAGATATTTTGAAGAAACAGGAAGAAACACGTCAAAAGAAACCAAAACATGTTCATGATTGTGTTTTGGTTATAGTTAATTAGTGTATGTGGAGGGTCTTTTAACATTGAACAAATAGCTTCATTGCGCCTTGAGAAGATGTTGAGATACCCTGACGGTTAATTACATCAGATCAACCAGCGTTTGGATGATCAATGTGTTTCTTCAACAGTGGAATGATCATAGAATTATCTTCATCACTTAATTCCCGAAGTTGTTGATAAAATTGGTGAGCAAATAATTCACACTACCAATGTGCCACAAGAGTGTTACACCATGTTAAAGCTATCCATCCGTTTTACCATTCTGCGCAGGACGCACTGCTGGTGGTCTCCGGCTTCAAGCTTCATGACGGGGAGCCACCTGGGGGGGGCGCTGGGGGGGCCTAAAAGCTAAGGGCTGAAGTAGGTGATACCCACAAAGTGGTAACTTTCAGTGAAAAACAAAGATGATTTACCGTGGGATTTGGAAGTAATTAGATGCAATTACCATAAATTCCCCTATTTTCCAGGCAATCCCAACTGTTTTCATCAGATGAGTAGCCACTTAAACTTGTATCATCCCCTCACTTGAAGAGATGAGTTCACCCAGTAGACCCGTCAAAATTGTCCATTTCCGCGTTAGAAGATATGGATGTACTATGAGAATCTTGCATTTTGCACACCCAGTTTGTTGATCATAATAATTAAGACTTATGTAACTTATGTATCATATCACCATTTGTATTTGAGTTCTATGATGCACCCTGATGCACCACACTTGTTGCCAAATGGCTTCCAGTAAGATGGCTAGGTCTTACGGGGGATGTAAGACGTTGCTAGGTCTGAATCTTCCAAGGGCTTAGTTGTATGTGCATCCACTAAGACACTGAGAAGGTAACCCTGGCTGCTAGGACCCAAAAAATTGGGCGTAAACAATCTTTTGTGTTCTGCACACTCTTGTCATTAGCGAAAAGAAGCAGCATTGGAGTTTATCCCCCATAAATTCACATGTTTGTACTTGTACTCTTTTTTTACATTATCATTTGGTATCAACTTCATGTATTTATATATATATACATATAGATAGATATTATATCTATCGACACACACACATATATATATATACATATGTGTGTGTGTATTGAAAAAATCTACCTATCTACGTATGATTTTGAAGACATGGGGTTCGTCCCAGACATCGAGCCCAGGAGCTTGGCACCGAGGGCCAAGTCCAAGGTTTGTCATGCTTTGTTTGGGTGATGTTGACAGAATACTGGGATTCCAATGTTGGAACTATAATGTAGTTACTATAGCATTATCCAGTGACATAATATAACATGTTATTTCTATAGAATATTTGAATGAACAAGAACATCAAAGCAGCTAGTTACTAGTTGGATGCTTCATGATTCCTTTTTAGTCACAGGTTCTCATAGCTCAAAGTCTTGCCGCATTTACGCAATGAGTTCGAACCGTGTCACTTGGCGCCAGTAAAGATTGCACTCAAGACTTTCTCATACTCCCCCATGTTTAAACTCCTAACTCACCAGCTTTGGCCATGTGAGATTCGCACCAGGCGACTACACTTGACGTCGTGCCAGAGCGAAGACCGGTGTGCCTTGCTGTGTTTAATTACCATGAGGATGCGAGTTGAGTGGATAGGCGGGGATGGACAAAGAGAAAACTTCTGAGACCCATAGTTACAGCTCCATTCCCTTGGAAGGCATTTGAATCCCAGGAACCCAATCCAAACAACATGTGTGAAAAACCATTTGCACATGAATTTAAACCGGGTAAGCCTTGGTTGAGTAAGTGGGAAGGGTTACTTATTTCCATAGATAGAGATAGTTATGTGAGTGTGTCTAAACATATATGCTATCTCAAAGTCCCCGTCCTTATCAGAATGTTCCGTAATAAATTGTTGTTTAGAGGGCTGTCATCCCAATTTTTAGCCACACCCGCAAATCATAACAAGTTGGCTGTAAATGTTTTATATGCTATGACATATTCCATTAAATTATACCGATTAAACCAGTATATTCACTGACTATATTCCAGCCCATCCCTGCCCCCCAATATTAATCACCCTTTACATGGTCCTACAGATATGTGCAAATTTCTACCAAACCCATGGTTCTGAGGGTCGTTTCATGGTTCTGGGGGTGTTTAATCTTAGCGGGAAGGGATTATGTCAATTAATTCCTCCTATTTGATAACTGGGATATAACATATATCCACCATACCCAACCAAAAACTTGCGTTGCTTGGTGTTCCACCGCCATGTGTTGACCGGCCCCAAGGGTCGCAGCTCATCGCTTCAGCGCCGATCTCCGGGCCTGGGGGCACAACAGGAGACATGATTCAGCACGGGGAATGCAACCCACATGGCCAGGCATGGCCAGGGTATAAGTCATGATATAACTCCATAGAAACCGCTCATCCCCCATTCCTAAGCTGTTCCGATGGTGTTTTGGTGAACTTCATCTTCTGGCTGTCCACATGCATTTTGTTCTTGCTCCTAGGGTCCTAGATTCTTAGAGCAAACGCACCGTCATCCAGCTGAGCTGTGGGGCTTCTCCACCAAGAAAAGCATGAAGAAACTGGAGGGGGGTAATGCTGGGAGTTCATTGGGATTGCCATGTTAGCTCGTAGCTATTGGCCCCATGGGATAATGAGCATGAGCTCCCTCCTAGCCTGAAGTGTGATGAAGTGTGCATCAGATTTTCGGAAAAATCTAGTGGCTGCAAAGTCTCCAGGATGATGTTCCATCTCTGGGATGATGGTTCAGAACGACCATTGTATTTTCCCACGTAGTTTGAAGCCACCAATGTTTGTGGGGACACTCAGCAGGATGGCATCTATCGAAAGGGCGAATGCCTTGCGCAAGGCCGCACAGAGAGACTTGAAGATGATGGGTAAATTATTGGGACCTCAAGGGCGACCTCACTGGAATCATGGTTAAGGGGAATCATCCCAAAATTGCCTTAATTCAGGTTAGTGAAAAAATTGCCCAGATAGGATGATAGGATCTTCAATGTGGCTTTATACCGTATTTGGGGGGAACCTTCAATGGGTAGTTTAGCACTTCAATCTTTGGCCATGTTGATGATGGATATTCATTGGCCAGCCAAGAAACTAATTTGTTGCAGGGTATCTAAGATAAGCCATGGTCACTGCACTACGCAAAATTTTATGGTGTTCACTGTGCATAACCAATCATCGAACATGAGATTTGTTTTGCCAATGGAATGGGGTCATCAAGCTGGCAATGTGCGGTGCAACATGATCAAAAATCCAGGATGGGAATCCTGCTCTGGACAATCACTTGGGGAGTTTCTATTTATATATATATGTGTGTGTATATGTATATAGTATATGTATGTATGTATGATTTACGTGCAACCCTGCACCAACTAATCATTTTGTTGACCCCAGTGACCCCCGTCTTCGCACCTTGCCTCAACCCTTGGAGCTGAAGCAACAGTTGAGCTTTGCAGGAACGTGATGAAAATGCCTTGGGTTCTTTCCCGGCAAGGCTGGGCACAAGGAGTTTTGAAAGAGCCTGGCTGTTGACAATTACCAACCAGTACCTGGGTAATACTCAGGATGCTTTGCATATCAAGTTTCAACCCAAGATATGGGAGGATGATCCCAACTGACCAATATACAGGGGATATATCTAAAAAGTTGGGCGTCCCGGCTGGGCTGTGGTCCGCTGGTGTGCATGGCAGGCCCCGTCCCAGCTCCGCACCATGGGGTCCATCGGCGCGCGCAGCACGCGCACGTGCAGCCTTGAAGACCTATCCCATCATGCGGGTCATCGACACCATCCCCACGCCATTGGGCTGAGCCTGGGAGGGTTTTGGGGGTCGCTGGATGGTAGGCTTTGTATGGGTTTGTGGGCGAACTTGTTTGTGTAGATCAGAAAAAAAACTAGTTAACTAGTTGATCATAGTTGATCAACATCGATTAACTCACAGGCCAAAAGGAAACACATGGAAACAACACATGTGTTTTCTAGTGGAAACCCAGTTGCTATGGGAAGTCCATATGGATCCCGTTCATGGAACATGCCGCTGGGTAAACTGTGGTTTGAGTGTGTTCACCACTCCATCTCGCTAGAAATGGAGAAGTGCCTCACACCCAGCAAAGATTTCACTTTCTGATGCGTATCAGTAAATCCATCCTTGGAATCCCCAACTTTCACCACGGATTCGCCACGGCACCAAGGCGGTACCTGCCACCGCCCTTGGCCAAGACACAACCGAAGCTTGGCAGATGGAGATTTTTAGCAGCCTGGTCGGTGGTCGTTGATGGGTCAACCATGGCCAACCTTGAATGGGTAGTTTTTCATTTTATTGTTGGCCATCAATGGGAATGTTTACTGAGTGTTTTTGTGTTCTTTGTTGCAAGGTATCTAGAATAATCTAACAATGGACGTGTGAGGAGGTCTTTTTCGTCTTAAGTCTTAACCATTTGAGATGATATCGAAGGTACACCTTTCATTTGAATATTTGCTATGTCCTCTGAATTCACTTTGTGACAGGGCATGCGCAAGGGTGGCCATGTATCGCAGGCTCGGTGTACCATCAAACATGTTCGTGCTAAACTGATAGCGGTGCGATGGATTCAATGTCCTGCCATGACGCTAGCTATGAGCAAAGCGAAAACGAGTTCGCACACCCTTAAAAATGCCAGATGCTGCTGTCAGCTGGGCTCTCCTGGTACTAGTTTCACAACTGGGTATATAGGTAGATACGAACTGGCTATATCATGCTATATCTCCAGCCCAATCTTCACGGGGTCGCCTCATTTACTGACCATTGAAACAAAAAGAAACGAATATAATACGACATGATTCATGAAGCAACTCCCCAAACATTGATCAAACAATCCTCTGTAACTTCAGGTAAATTGTTTTTATCGGTTTACTTTTGTTTCACCAACTCAAACTCATGGATGAACCATCTCCAACATTACTAGAAATCGATGTTAGAAATAAATTCCAAATGGTGGGATCATTATAATATTATATGAATGTGGTGCTGCCACATTAAATTCTTTTCCTGATGCCCAATCCTTAAGCCACTGTCTCCCTGCAGCTAGGAGGCACATGCACGAGATGGTGGAGGGTCAACCTGTCATCCCATGACGCCGCCTAAATTTCAGGGCGAAGACCGCGCCTGAAATTGCGCGTGAGATCTATGTGTTCATCGTTGTCAGATATCTTGATTTCAATCAGATTCACAACTCACTATCTTCACTCTTCTGCCAGTGAAACCCGAAGGGAACGCCCAAACAAACTACCACGCCAACCATGGGCTAAACTGCTTAACCACAGACAGTACTGAATCCCAACGGAAAGAGATGAACACATCTTTGGTTGTTGCCGTCAGATGCAGAGTGGCTCCGCAACCTATCCGAAAATGGCTGCAGCGTTTGCGCTTTCCATAGGTGAACATATGAACACATGCCTGGAAACATTTCAATGCTCCCAAGGTCCCGAGTCCAATGGTTGAGGGTTTCTCCACTGCTTGTCTGTGAGCATCCACAGGGCTTCGGGATGGATTATAGCCACAAGCAAAGTGTTTCTTCGCTTCTTTGGTGATTAGACAGGTGGATTTACAACACAGCACCGTCGGACCCTGCCATCTCAGGTGCTTTCAAGGGCCCGGACTTCGTGAACCTCTTCCTGAGATAGGGGGATCTAACCAGTGGAACCTCCTTTGTTGGTGGTTTCAACTTTTTTGGGGATGATCATCCCAAAATGGATCGTGATCCAAGGTTTTTTGTTGAAACAGCTTGTTTCCGCTGTTTTGTGGTCCCAATATAACTTATAAAATGGGCATATAACCCATTTGAAATTTGATGATAATATAATAATATATATATAATGATATAGTTTTTAAAAAACAAATGTTCTTCCCCATGTGGGATGATTATCCAAAATGACGATATCTTGTTTAAGCTTGAAACCACCAACCAGTCCTGCTATCAGCCCAGAACTAAGAAGGTTCAGCTCTGGGTTCTACAGGATGTTTAGTTGAATTGAGCAAGGTGCGGGACGAACATGACTCGGATTGTCTCAATGGGGAAACTGGTGAAGAAAGAAGGATAAGAACGAACAAATTTGGTTGCTCGCACTTCATATTTGGCCCACAGCGTTGCAACATGAGCTTTGCGAAAAAGAAATTGGCAATACAAGGGTGGTGGGGTTCTCTGAAACATATGGGGAGCAAACCGTGAATGACGGTTCCATTTTAGGCTGTTAGGATAATCGAAAACCCCATGGATTTCAGGATTCAGAGGGGCCAGAGGGGCTCCAAGAGCGCGCCAAACAGCACTTTTGAGCGAAGCTGTTGGTCCATTGTGCGCCCTCTTCGCAACTTCCCCCATGTTTCAAGTGGTTGCCCCTGGACAAACCACTCTGGCAGTGGAACACTATCCCATTTTCCGAAGGAAAATCATCCTGAAGAGTGTTCAATTTTCACTTGGAGCGTTCATACATGTTCATACATGTTCATACTGTTTTTCGCAACCCTCACCCTCCAAAAGATGCAGAAGAGATACCCTCCGGTAATGGAACCCCCACATTTAGTTCGATGATTTTTCTCTATAAACCTCTATGACGACTGCAGGGCTTTAGTGCTTTAGCATTTTTTGATGACACCAAAGGGTGTTTTGCCGATCTTCCAAACAGATTTCATGGACATTGCTTGAAAATGACCATTATATATATATGCTAATTAGATATAAATATATTAGCATTATATTTATTGTTATTATTATAATTATTATTGTTATTATTGTTGTTATTGTTATTATTATTATATATTATATATTAAATATTATATATTATATTTTATATTAGATATTATATTATATTCTATCATGTTAATTTTCATCATTTATATATATATATATATCCCCGTTATCCCATCATAGCCATGTAATCTTATTCCCACAGCCAGTTGCTCGCGGGGCCGAGGCCGGATACCAGGCCCCTCTATCGAGGTGCACCGGTCCTGCGGGAGTCGAGACCTCAGTGACGATTGAAATTTTTCATGGACGATTCACCAATGAAAATTGGTATAATACTCATAATTCATGGTTAAGATGGTTAAAACCACCAACCAGCCATAATATTGGTATAATAATGTATAATTGTACTATTATTGGTAAATAATACCCATAATATTCTAGGTAAGTAATGTTACATAATACCCATCATGGTATAATTGGCAAATAATACCCATAATTCATGGACATCAATAATTGGCAAATAATACCCATAATATTGGTATAATATTCTAGGGAAGTACATGTTTACTTGTTGATGTAACAACTGCTGAGACATGAGAAGGGTTAGTGAAATATTATAATTTACCCAGATCTATACCGGCTGGTGGTTTCAAACATTTTTTATTTTCCATAATATATGGGATAATCCTTCCCATTGACTTTCATATTGTTCAAGATTGTTAAAACCACCAACCAGCCATAATATTGGTATAATATTGTATAATTATACAATATGGGTATATTTCATATAATTGTTCTATTATTGGTAAATAAGACCCATGATATATGGGGATACTATATTATACCAACAATAACAATAATGGTATTAAATTATACCAGTGATAGTATGATATAGTTGTAAATAAGCCATCATGATTTGATCTGAACACATATGGTTGCAAAATGTTGTAGATACATCAGATGCATTTGCTGGATGCAGCAATTCTTATAGTTATGTATATAGTTCAACCACCAAAAGAGGGACTTCGGAAAAACCAACATCTGCACATTCTGGATGTGTCTGAAATGGTGGATACCAGGATGCCACATTATATGGCCAAATTGATAGGGAACATGATGATAACCCACAATTTACAAGGGTCTAAGGTGATATGAGTTGATGTTTGTTTATTTTACCTCCTCCAGATTGTAAACACATGGATGCAGATGGCATATGATGGCATGCTTTATGATTCAGCGTGCCACTTTAGACAATTGCTTCCAATTTATTTGTGTTATGTGTATGTCCGTTTGGAACCATTCAGGTGGACGGTTCCTGTGAAAGAAGCAACATGTTCACTTCCATACATACGAAATACCTGGAGGTAGGGTCAGAATGCTACAAAACGAATAGACCACCACATATCAATACATCCAAACAGACAGATAGATAGGTAGATGTTTCTGTACCTATACCTATTAAGTACGTCAATAGTACATATGTAACTTTATGTAAGTCAAATATGATGCTGTGCTCTGGTGATCCCTGGCCAACGCATCAGGTCTTGAGCAATGCATCCATGTTTGGCATCCAGTCCAGCCTGCACGGGCTCCTAGTTGGATCGGGCACAAGTGACTTGGGACTCAAGGTGTTGATCTGCGATGTTTGACTTTTTTGTTCAGGATATCATGTGTTTTTTGGAATAGAGTCTCCAAATATCAGAGTTGTCCTACCTTTTTGCCTGAAATGCATGGTGGGAGTGACTTGGCGGAGTGTATGTAAAGACTGTGGCAAACTGCCTCGGTGTATATTATGTGGACTCTTTAGGAACATGCACAAAATTTAGTTACAGTACCGATTGATTAATGAAGATGCCAAAACTGTTGGACACGGATTATTGTGGCTATGAGATTTCCTGTAGCTTTGGGCAGCGGTAATATGACACATGCCAACTGATCACCCCCACATAAAATGATAGCAATGAAATATAATAATTCGAGAATTATCAACTCGTTTGTGTTTGCGGACTTTTGACTCGTCCTTGCACGCAAAGTTACTAAGTTACTCCAGTCTACCCGTGATTTTACTCTGTACCGCAGAAGTCCTGTTCTTAATCAGGATCCTGCCTGACCTCTTCAGCCATGATTTTACTCTACTTTACTCTGACTTCTCTTGTACTCTGCTTGATCTCAGGTTTCACAAGGCGTGTATCACCCGTCAATCCATGAACGTATTTGTTACTCCACCCCATCCCCATCCAGAGACATGATCAGTATGCAGCGCCTGTGCGTGCAAATGAACATGAACGTTATTAGCATCCCGCCGCCCGCCCCACCCCATCCCAACCCCACCCTACCCATGTGTGTCAAAGTTGTGTGCACAGATGAGCCAAAAATAACAAGTAATTGGTTTAAACCTGTGTGCGCAGATGAGTCAATTCTGCGTGCGCACATGAGTCCCGTACCTTTTGTAAACCCCATCCCAACCCCACCCTACCCATGTGTGTCAAAGTTGTGTGCACAGATGAGCCAAAAATAACAAGTAATTGGTTTAAACCTGTGTGCGCAGATGAGTCAATTCTGCGTGCGCACATGAGTCCCGTACCTTTTGTAAACCCTAGGGTAAACCATCCCGAATATCACCAGGAATGGGTGGTATCAATACCAAAACTGGAAGCTTACAATTGGGTTTTCCATATCCATCCATAATCCCACTTCATTCATACACACGCAGCCACATATACATACATACAGTACATACATTACATTACATTACTTTACCTTACATTACATTACATTACACAACATAACAGAACATAACATAACGTAACCTAAGCATACATACATACGTACATACATACATACATACATAACAATACATACATAACAATACATACATAACAATACATACATAACAATACATACATAACAATACATACATAACAATACATACATAACAATACATACATAACAATACATACATAACAATACATACATAACAATACATACATAACAATACATACATAACAATACATACATACATCCATACATCCATACATCCATACATCCATACATCCATACATCCATACATCCATACATGCATACATCCATACATCCATACACCCATACATCCATACACCCATACATCCATACTTCCGTACATCCGTACATCCATACATCCATACATACCATACATTACGTTGCATTACATTACGTAACATAACATAACATAACAATACATACATACATACATACATGCATGCATACATACATAACATAACATAATATAACATAACATAACATAACATAACAATACATACATACATGCACGCATGCATGCATACATACATACGTACATACGTACATACGTACATACGTACATACGTACATACGTACATATGTACATACATA